AGACCACTCAATACATTTATAGATCATCAAGATCTTTGACTACTGTATGAAGACACACCATATCCCAAGTGAATGGAAAATAGGCACTATCATCACTATACCAAAGCCAAATATGGATCACTCTAAAACTGTAAGTTATCGACCAATTACTCTACTTCCAGTACTGGGAAAAAACATGTAGAAAATACTGAGAAATCGAATACTCCAACAAATAGACGTCAACATTCCAAGATATCAATTCGGATTCAGAAATGAATGCTCTACCCTACTCCCTCTCAGTATACTCACAAACAATATCGAGGCCAGCAAGCTTAATAGACGTAAAACAGCAGCAGTATTTTTGTATATAAACAAAGCCTTCGACAGTGTATGGCACAAGGGGCTTTTATACAAACTGAACCAATTAGGATGTTCCAAATATTTAATTTTCCTGATCAAGAGCTTTTTGAACAAACCGGAAATTGAAAGTGAAGATTTTATCAAGTCTCTCCAATGAATTCACCCCAAAACAAGGACTACCACAGGGTTCTCCATTATCTCCTCTATTGAGAGAGAGAGAGAGAGATAATATATGTTTATTGTCCAAGATACATGATCTTATTGACAAACACTTTGTATAAAATAATAATAATAAAAAAAAAAAAAAAAAATTATAGTAAACAAGTATTAAAACACGACAATTTGTTAAGTCCTCATAATTACAGTTTTTGTATTGTCATAGCCTATTCCATTATAAAACAATCAAACATAATATACAATACAAAGATACAACACTATAACACTTATAATCTCAATAGTTGAGATTCGTCATTGAAATACTCTGTGAGATCATAATATGCCTTACACGCTAATCTCTCTTGCAGAGTTTTTCTGAAAATATTCAGTGGCCCAATTGCTTTTATGTCCATGGGGAGTTTATTATACATCTTTACTCCATTGTATATAAATGAATCTCTGATCAGTGAGGATTTGGGTATAATAAGGGCTAAATTTGTTGCATTACGTGCTGTGCGATTATGGTTAATGTATGAATATTTATTCTTGTGTATCAAACATGTGGTTTCCAGTATATATAATGATGTGAGAGTTAATATTTTACACTTCTGGAAATATGGCTTGCAAGTGGTCGATCTTTCAACCTGACACAAGTATCGCACGGCACGTTTTTGCAACAAAAATACACTATCGAAGAGTTCTTTGCTGCAAGATCCCCAAAATTGTATCGCATATCTCAGATTTGATTCTATGAGGGCGAAATAGACATTTTTTGCTGCCGCGAATCCAAGCTCCCTAGTTGTAGTCCTGAGAGCGAAGCAACCAGAAGATAATTTCACTTTCAGACCTGAGACGTGTGTATTAAATTTCAAATTATTGTCTATATTGAGGCCCAAAAATCTGATGTTTGTTTCAAATGGTACTGTGGTAATCCCTAATTGGAGTTCTGGCATTATACATTTGAAGGTGATTAGCTTAGTTTTATTGAGATTCAAACATAGAAAATTCGATTCACACCACAGTTTAATTTTTTCCAAGTCCTGTGTGATACTTTCATGAAGCATCATGAAATCTTTGGAGTGCCATAAAACTGTCGTATCATCGGCAAACAGTGTGAAGGAACCAGAAATATCAAGAAGAGATAAATCATTGACGTATAGGAGGAAAAGATAGGGGCCTAATACTGAGCCTTGAGGTACTCCCCAAGAGATTTCCATTGTATTTGAGGTTTGATCAGTTTTCACAAATTGTCTTCTACCTGCAAGATAGGATTCCATCCATCTCAGAGCCACGCCTCTGACTCCGTAATGAGCTAGCTTCCGTAACAGTACTCCATGACTTACGCGATCGAATGCTTTCGTCAGGTCACAAAATACCGCCGCTACATTTTCACCTGAATTGAGATTGGTGTATGCCCTTTCCATACAGTTGAACATAGCATCTGATGTACTCTTATTGCTTCTAAAACCAAATTGTACGTTGCTTACTATTTTGTTATCCTCCAAAAACCGTACTAAGCGTATTTTTATAAGTTTTTCAATTACTTTTCCCAAGGTTGGAATCAGAGAGATGGGCCTAAAGTTGGATGGATCCTGTCTGTCCCCCCCTTTATGAATAGGAATTACAACACTAGTCTTCAGGAAATCAGGAAACGTACCTTCCTTGAAACTATCATTTATGAGTATAGAAAGAACGAGTAAAGCTGATTCTGGAAGATTCTTGAAAATTTTTATTGACAATTCATCGTTTCCTGCGGCATTTTGTTTTTTGATTGATGCAAATACTTCTTTCAATTCGATTGGGTTGGTCTCATAAAATAAACAAGGAGTAACTATATTGACATCTTTAAGGAAATTAATGGGATCTTGATTAGAGTTTAGGTTTTGCGTTAATGATTGGGCAATATTGCAGTAAAATGAATTCAGATGATTAGGATTTATGGTTGTCTGTGCATTCTTATGAGTCGAGTATTGTACAATGCATACTGCGCCGACATCTATACTCACGCCTATAACGTCCCACAGTTATTCTCCATGCCAACTTACATACTCCAATATGCAGACGACACAGCTTTAGTTTCACATGGAAAATCCCTTGTCAAAACGGTAGAAAACCTACAAAGCCTGATGAACTCAACCACAGTATGGTTCAACAAATGGAGACTAAAACCCAATCCCACCAAATCCCATTTCATCATTTTCAACCATCACCCTTCACCTTCATCGCCTACCATCATTATTCATCAGCACAATCTTCATCCAGAATTGCAAGTTAAATATTTGGGAGTTACCTTCGACAATAAGATAAGTTTTAAACAGCATATAAACCAAAAAAAGAAGTATATGATCTCAAGAGCAACCCACTTTAGGGGATTGACATACCAGAAGAAAGGGATAAATCTGACAACAGCAAGCAGTATTTATAAAATGATATGTCGTCCAATGCCAATGATAGATTACGCCCATCTGATATTCTTAAACTGCAAAGCAGGCATCAGGAAAAATCTGCAAGTAGCCGAAACATCTGCAATCAGAAAAATAACAAAAATTCGCCACCCCAACAACCCACTACACAATCCACCTAACCCACTGCTCTACGAAATGACTGGCATAAAACCTATTGAGACACGCCTACACGAACTTGCCCAGAGATTCTGTCGAAAACACACCAACATGGAGATACTACAAGAATTCTGTATAAGAAGAAATCCAGAAGTACAGGCCATACACAAGCATCCAGAAGAACCGCTCATTGAAATACTTCTCCGATTGGTTCAACAATTTTAACATAACAAAAATGACTTTTTTTTTTCACAATCAACAGTAATTTTTTGAAAAAGTCAAGCAGGAATGATTATATTTTATTAGTATAAACTTAAAGGCTGAAGGACCTAGGTCGATAGCCGGTAGAATTGAATAGTAATGATTGTACTTATATGTTATATCATATGTATTCAATTCAATAAAGAACGATTATTATTATTTGAACAAGAAAACTCAGCGCTTGGAACAGATACAGCAGGAAGTTGTTATTCTATTATTTTATACTGGGTGATGTGCAACCACCATTCCATCGAACTGTCTCAATACTCAGGAGTTATGTTCAACAATAAGATAAGTTTCAACTCCAACCAGCATATAGCCCAAAAGAAGAAAAATATTAGCTCAAGAGCAACCCATTTTAGAGGATTGGCATACCAGAAGAAAGGGATGAATCTGACATCAGCAAGCAGTATTTATAAAATGATATGTAGTCCAATGATAGATTATGCCCATCTGATATTCTTGAACTACAAAGCAGACATAAGGAAAAAACTGCAAGTAGCTGAAACATCTGCAACCAGAAAAATAACAAAAATTCGCCAACACAATCTGCTTCACAATCAACTTAACCCAGTGCTCTAGGAAATGACTGGCATAAAAGACAGTGAGACATGCCTGCACACAACTAGCCCAGAGATTCTATGGAAAACACAGCAACATGGAGATACTACAAGAATTCTGCATTAGAAGACACCCAGATGTTCAGGCCATACACAAGCACCTAGATAGATAGGTAGATAGATAGATTTATTGGTGTTAATATACATTTAAGTACACAAGTCATAAAAAGGTCATTACACACTTATACATGTAGCTGGACAATATACAAATATATAAGACTATTGAAATCATGTACATGTTAATATAATTAAAAAAAAACTGGGTCTTGTTCACTTGATCAGTTCTAGTTTGATAATACCAAATCATTGAAATTGTTTGTGAGATATTCTCCAATTGAGTAAAATGCTTTTGTTAAAAGATAATTTTTGAAGATTTTAGTAAACCAATTTAAATTCAAGTTTACATTTTTGAGTTCATCTGGGAGTACATTGTACATTTTGGGGCCGTAACTTGTACTGTCTCTGCTCTTTTCAAGGTGATGATATTTAGGTAACAATTATATTATAAGTGTCATAGCCGTAGGAATCTCCAGCTGTACTATATGCATCCAATTTTTTTTTTACATAGACAACCCCTAGAAGAACTGCTCATTGAAATACTTCTCAGATTGGTTTAACAATTTTAACTTAGATTATATACTTTTTTCAGTATATTATATACAAGAGGAGAATAATGAATGTGAAATATCCTGTACATAGGTTAACTTCAACAGGAAAATGCACATGTGTAAAATTCTTCAATAGCAATTGGACAAAGGCTATAAAATGATAAGTATCTTTAAGTCTGAAATCAAAACAAAACTAATTCAACTGGAACCTTATAACCTTGTATATAATTTTCTCTACCTTTTTTGTCAATTTCTTTTGTCTGATTTACCTGGACCACTTGTTTTTGTATCTCATACAATATGAAATAAATATTATTATTATCATTATTATTATTAGTATAGACTCAAAGGCTGAAGGACCTAGGTCAATAGCCAGTAGAATTGAGTAATACTGATCATATTATACCATATGTATTCAATTCAATAAAGAATGATTATTATTTAATATCACTCACATCTCTTGTTTCTTCAGTGACCTTTGAGAACATCCCCCTGGTGCATCTCTGCAAATGTGCCTCTTCCTTGATGAGTTTAGATTCTTTCTCAGCAACAGCTCTCAATAAATCTTGATGGTCCTTGTAACTGGGATTGTAGGACATGCCAGGGTGAGGAGCTTCTATTGCAGGGACACCACTCTTCTTCTCTTTCAAGGATGGCCTGACATTTTTTATGGGGACACCTACTCCACGCAAATTGTGTTTCTTTGTATTTGTTGTGGCCCATTCATCAGATTCAATTGGGAATTTTTTCACTTAAATAAGATAGAATTTGCAATATCTGATAATGGTGGAGAAAAATCATGCAATCTTTTCAGCCATTTAAACAAAGCATAATAATATTATTTGAAATTACCTCCTGCCCATAGATCCTCTGAAAATTCTCCTCTTTTTGGTTTATTTTGTCTTCTGACTTCAGCTAATTCACGATTTGCTTTTGCTTGAATTTCTTTTGCTGTAAATATTCCTTTTTTCTGGTTTGCTTCTTTTTTCAGCATTACTAAACGATTCATTCTTTCTTCCTTTGTTCTAACATGATTTCTACAATTAAAAATTGCCTGAGTGAATATTGTATCAAAACACTGTCACTGCTTGTACCTTTTTGCAATGGGATCTGGAACTTTTGTATATGACTCCAAAGAAGAGAGGCATTTCAAGGGTTTAAGAGCTTTCAATTTACGCCTTTCTTTAGATGACAACAGTTGTTCATCAGGTTTTACATCCACTTTGAACAATTCATCATTGGAAATAGTTGCCAGTGGTGGTCTAATAAAATAAGGGAAATGAGTGAGTTGATAGAATGTTACATCAGTTAAATATAACATACCCTAGACGTTCGTCTAGTCGTTGGTCTTCTAAAAATTCTTCAACATCTTTAATGTTCACATGTTTTCTCCAGGAACTCTTGAGTTTCTTGGAAACTTTTTTCTTCTTAGTTCCAGAAATTGCCATATTCAGATGTTCTTGCACAGTGGACGAGAAAAGAAGGTTTTTTTCGCCACAGGCTTTCAATCACCAAGTTTTCTTTCAGTCGTCACATTAACAAACATAACCCTATTTTCTGATAACCAGGATAACCTCAAAAATTCAAAATGTCATCTTCCATCTTCCCAAGTTCATAGAACTACAACTCAGAGGGTCATAGCTAGTTCTGTCAACTCGCGTTCTGTGCCTTCTTAGACCCGTCTGCCGTAAGGGTCTGCTGAAAGAGTTTTAAAACTCGGTTTAAAATTAATATGTATGGCCATGCTCTGATAGCATGGCGTCAGTCCACTGATCATTTGTTGCTCAGTGATTTAGGCAATCAAGGATGTTTTTCCTTCCTCTCGAGACCCCGAGAGTTTTTCTACTTTACGAGGTTACGAGCGAATGCGCATGCGTCCATAATGTATGACGTGAATTATCTCACCACCTAGCCACAGATTAACAAACCTAGCCGAGGATTCTGCTGATTCATCCGACCGAAACTCAACACCCCAGGTTTCCGTGATGTCGATCAAGCACCAAGGTTTCTCAATTCCATTTTTCACGGCAAACGCCAGTCAGACTTTAGATTTACTTGTATAAACATCTCTCTGTTCATTTATTTTTGCATTTTGTAATAAAAGTTATTTTTTTAAAAAAGCAAGTCCGTCGTTGCCGTACTTATTTCGTGATTCACGTAACCATATATGTACTATTTCTATATATGGCGCGTCGCCTTTACGATACCTCAACAAGAATGGGACCAAAATGAGAGATACTTTTTGAATCTATAAGGACGGAAAGTGAAGGATGGAAACAGCCATATTGGTCAATGGATATTGGTTTGACATTGACAAGTTTCGTATTATTTTTTCCATACGTCGGCATCAACGCCTATTGGTCGATTTCGTTAACTATAGAGACAGAAGTTGGTCCCGCTGAATGTTCATATATGAGTAGTAGATATTATATGACTGTTACCAATCTGACAATGAGGATTGGGAATGGTTAGAAAACTTTAGGTTCTCGCCTGACCATTGAACTCCACACTTTCCACACTGATCAATGCGTCTGACCAATCGTCTGACTGACCAGTTGAATTCGGAATATAGCCTTGCTCACAAGTATCTGTCACTTTCAGTGATTTTTATTGATTTCGGATGAAAAATCAGCAGATTCAGTACTGACAGTTGTATTCGGAATATAGTCACAATATCGTGGTCACAATATGAAAAGCACTCTCGCAGCAAACTACTCTTTGGCGTAATGTCGTGATTTTCTTGTTATTGTTCGTTGTTTTCGGTTTTCGCATTTGCCGAAAACACACGGATTCTTGCGTAGCCATTGCGTAGCAGCCTGAATAAAACACATTCAGTGTTCTATGCCATGACAAGTGACAAACTGACGATATAGACAATGACAAATGACAGAAAAACTTAACCCAACTTCAAGCAAAAAAGATTTTTTTTCTTGAAGAACGGAAGGTGGGCTGAAAGTCACGTTTTGCTGTTTTGCAATCATTTCTTAAGTTTCTCTGAACACATAATTTACACGAAGATATTTCAATATGATGGTGAGCAAAATTCAACTAAAACAAATGTGGAATATTGATAAATACCTGCCATATTTACCGGCTATGTATCAACATTTTTCATCACACGTTTCAGCAACCACAGATACTACTTTTGAAAGAAGGAACTGACACATCTCAGGGTAAACCCCAGCTAATATCGAATATCAACGCTTGCCAGAATGTAGTGGATGCTGTTCGCACTACTCTAGGACCCAGGGGTATGGACAAACTGATTGTAGAAAAAACGGGCAGGGCCACTATATCTAATGATGGAGCAACTATACTCAAGCTTCTGGACATTGTTCATCCAGCAGCAAAGACCCTTGTAGATATTGCCAAATCCCAGGATGCTGAAGTTGGGGATGGCACTACTAGTGTTGTATTACTTGCTGGTGAATTTTTGAAACAAATAAAACCCTATGTTGAGGAGGGTGTGCATCCAAGGATCATCATCAAGGCAGTTCGCAGGTCCCTACAAATATGCCTGGAAAAGATCACTGAACTAGCTGTTAAAATTAACAAGGCCAATGCTGTTGAATTCAGGACACTATTAGAAAAATGTGCAGCAACTGCTATGAGTTCCAAATTGATCAACCAGCAGAGAGCATTCTTCTCAAAGATGGTGGTAGATGCAGTTCTACTCCTAGATGATTTGTTGCCCCTCAATATGATTGGTATCAAGAAGGTTCAAGGTGGTGGTCTTGAAGACTCAATTTTAGTGGCTGGTGTGGCATTCAAGAAAACATTCTCATATGCTGGGTTTGAAATGCAGCCAAAAGTTTACAAAAACTGCAAAATTGCTCTTTTGAACATTGAACTAGAGCTGAAAGCTGAAAGGGACAATGCTGAAGTTAGGGTGGATAATGTAAGGGAGTATCAGAAGATTGTGGATGCAGAATGGAATATTTTATACAGTAAGCTTCAGAAGATATATGAGTCTGGTGCCAATGTTGTGCTGTCAAAGTTGCCTATTGGGGATGTTGCCACTCAATATTTTGCTGACAGGTGAGTTGTTCGGTTGTTTAAGCTGGGGGAAGGTTGCTAATTGAAGCATGTTTTATATCAGCACTTAAAGATGACAACTGAGCATCTAGAAATAGCAGATTTTATTGACAAAGGAATAGACAGTACAACCAAACTGGTTGATTTTTGAATTCAATTAACTTTTTTCTCAAATAATGATCTCATCAGATCTAGTAGTAAACTACCTTCCTGTGATGATGTCACCAGTTTTTTTTTTAAATGAAAGATGCTGTTTTTTAAATTTCTCTGGCTGAGTTGATTCCAACAATGTACACTTTGTTTGAAATTGGTGTAGGGTGGGCAAAAATACAGTTGTTGATGAAACTGCAATGGAATGAAATAATTATCTATCATGATAAAAAAAATTACAAATTAATAAAAAAAAATGCTAATATGTTTGTTTTTAGCAGTCACAGTACTTTTTAACTAAAAAGGGTGTTTCAGTTTAGTCCCAAGACCTTGGCCAATGACTTTTTGGATAAGTTCCATTGAAGTATAAATAACTGCAACTTTGTTGGTTGTATAATCATTTCATCCCCATTGTTCTTGAACTTTTGTCTTTTCCTTCCATGTCATAGAATTAAAAATTAATGATATATATTTTACTAAAGGAGTTAGTACTTGGACGTGTGCAGTTGCCTTTTTTTTTTGTTAATATGTACATGTCTTAGATTTCATTGGAGGATAATGACTCATTCCCAAAATTCTCATCACATTTATGTTCACAGCTTTGTTGCATGCATTTAAAAGATTTAAAATTTCATGCATCCTCACATGCATCTCTGAACATTTTGGGAATGAATCTGATCCCATATGGTTCCAGATTACATAAGAAGTTAAGTATGGGCTTCTTCACTAGTTGGACAGTTTCTTTCAGTTGCTTCCTTCCCAGAGAATGATGCCATAACATGCCATTTAATAGAAACTTACATAGTAAAAGGTTTCAACAATGTTGATATTGTTATTCCATAGTTTTCTGAGGCCAAAAAGAGGCCAGTTAAGTTCCTCACTGAGAAAATTGATGTGAGAGAAGAAACTCAAGGTTTCATCAAGAAACACACCCAAACATTTAATTTCTGTGGACAATTGTATTGTATGTTGATTGAGAATGATATTGTCTGGAGTTTCAGGCCCAAGTATTGTTTTGAAAAACACTGCTTTAGTTTTATCAGGATTTAGTATTAATTTCGAATTCAAGAAAACATTCTATTTTAGCCATGAGTGAATTACAATTAAGCCTTAGTTGAGGGAAAGTTGAAGTGGTAAATAGTATCATCTGCATAGTTAATGATAGTTTGAACTCCTTGGGCAATTGCTAAGAGATCGTTTATGTAGATGATGAATATTAGCGGTCCTAATATGCTGCCCTGCTGCACCCCCTTGGACACCACCAGCATTTTCATTTGAATTTTGATCCTTCAGCTTCAAAGTGTGTGTGCATCTGGACATGTAACTTTTGAACCAATTTAAGGGCGCGCATCACAGTGAAATAGTTCGCCCACAGACACCAGTGAAACTATAAATATATCACAGCCGTCTAGTGGCGCCATAATTATAGTTTCATGTATTATTTCTACAGAATCCTTTAGATACATTTAATTCAATCAATAGGGAACCTCATCAGTAGATGTCTCTGAATAATATTTGTGGCTGTACTAAGGGAACAGGTACAAAGTCACCTACAGTGTTGCCAGTATTTAATCAGAGTACGTCGCCAAATTAGTAGTAGTAGAAATTCATAAGTGGAATGATATATTTCACATTATTATATTTACCACCTAGTATTCCCATCCTGTGATGACCTCACCATAGAATGAAAGTCATACGATAGTTTATATCCATTTCATCTATGTTATATCTAAATATTATTGATTCTCTGTCACAGTGTATGTGGCCAAACTCTGATAATCGATCGTAAACTATTTTTTAAATTGGAAACTAAAGATGGCGAATCCAATAAGGCGGACGAGTTTTCTAATTATGATCCGATTCTATTCAAAATCTCTGTATCGGGTGGTTAACGGGATTGAAAATAATGATACTTTCGTCAGAATAAGGAAATTAAATATGGTGGATCCAATATGGCGGACGAGTTTTGTACTTGTGATCCGAATATTTTCAAAATTGGTATCTGGGGGTTTTCGGTATCGGAGAATATGATTCTTTTGTCAAAATCAGAAAAATAAAGATGACGGATCCAATATGGTAGAGTTTTGTAATTATAAAAAAATTCCAATACTTACCTCCTATCCCTATCCTCCCTAGGAACGCACGATGTTCTTTGAACATTTCTTTGAACATTATAGGGATTCCCTCTCGTGCGCTCCAAGCGATAAAAAAAATAATCCTATTCTATTCAAAATTGGTATTTGGGGGTTTTCGGTATCGGAATTTATGATTCTTTTGTCAACATTTAAAAAATAAAGATATCGGATCCAATATGGCGGACGAGTTTTGTTCATGATCCGATTATTTTCAAAATTGGTAGGTATCTGAGGGTTTTTGGTATCGGGGAATATGATTCTTTTGTCAAAATCAGAAAAATGAAGATGACGGATCCAATATGGTAGAGTTTCGTAATTATAACCCTATTCTATTCAAAATTGATATTTGGGGGTTTTCGGTATCGGAGTTTATGATTCTTTTGACAAAATTAGGAAATTGAAGATGGCGGATCCAATTTGCATATTGGATCTGGACTCTGGATCTATATAGGTTCTTGTTGAAAGGAATTTTCTCTTTTTATTTCAGAGTTCTATGGCCAGAGAATGAAGAAGTTATACGTATATCATTGTACCTTTGGTTCTTATAATCATTTGAACTTCCCGGAGATTTTGAAGTTTTTGTTGACATGTTTTCTTTGTGCGTTTGAAACATTTCAGACACATTTACCTGATGAAAATAGATTAGATGTTTATGATATATTATTATCAAAAATTTTTCCCACATGATGCCAACTTTATGAATAATACTGTAGAGTGTAGAAACATAATATAAACAAAACACCTGCTAACGTCAAATGGATCTCGCTCTGTGCGGAAGACTCGAATCTACTTGGATGGTAAAGCCACAAAGCCATTGAATTTGGACTCGCGAGACTCATCTCACTCCCAGCAGAAGCCCAAGCTGTCTCAATAAGTCGCCTGTCGCCAAGTTCTATTTTTGGTCGCCAAAATAGGTTCAGAGATAGCCCAATTGTCGAGAAATCGCCCATACTGGCAACACTGGTCACTTATCGATTTTTCTTTGAAGTCCAGTTGGAATCGTTCGGGGAATCACACACACTGCCTGATACCGCGACACCGACACCGCCCGCTCCGCCAGTTGCAGTGCTGCCAGCGTTCTGCTATTTTATATTATAACACTGATGTTTTTGTATATATCAGTAGTGGCACGTACAGAATACTCAACAATGTCAATCGTTCATGTAGGTAACGGACTAACTCCACGTCGACCCGGGCCCCGGGCACAGGTCCTACGGTCACGTTAGCTGAGGGAACGAGCTGGTTACGTCAGAGACTTCTGGGTGCTTCTGGCCTTATGTTCAAGTGGGTAACGGTCAATCCGTCTATAAATACAATTTTTATAAAACAAAACTGTTTTTGTTTTTTGAAATATCCTATTTCGGTAAGTGTGAAAGTATTAAATAGAATTGTCACGAAAGAGATGAAAAAATCCGAAGAATTTTCCCTTATTTCCCTAGCAAAAATGAATTTAGTAATTTGTCCTTTGAACAAGGGACATTTCCTTAGACCTGGCATCACTGGTCACTGGTTGAAACTAAGTAGCACCAGATTTCTAATTCTTAGCAAATGAGAAAAGGAGGAAAGGATTGATTACTTGCTTTCATAAAAAATAATATTTTGAGTTTCATATGGGCCTATCACAAAAGACAATATTTTGCTTATGCCTACACTAATTTTTAATTATGAATATTACCTGTCATGAGTGGATTATGTATACTTACTTCAACACCAGTTTTTCAAATGGGAATTCAAGATAATCAAAACTACTTTCTATAAATTGGAAAAAAAGTGGTGGTTACGTTACGATTGGGATATGGGATATGAGAATTTCTCAATTTTGACCAAATGATCATAATCTCCGAACCCGAAAACCCCCAAATACCAATTTTGAATAGAATTGGTCGATAATTACAAAACTCGTCTGCCATATTGAAACCGCCATCTTGAATTTCCCAATTTTGACGAAAGATTCTGAATCTGTGACCCGAAAATCCCGAAACCAATTTTGAATACAATTGGTCTATAATTTCGAAACTTGTCCGCCATATTGGATCCGCCATCTTGGATTTCCAAATTTTGAAAAAATAATTGTCTCCGACTCCGAAAACCCCCTGGATACCAATTTTGAACAGAATCGGATCATATTTGAACAACTCGTCTGCCATATTGTATCCGCCATTCTGAATATCCTCATTTTGACGAAGAAATCATAATATCCGACCCCGAAAACCCTCTCAGAAGCCAATTTTGAATAGAATCGGATTACAAAACTCGTCCGCCATATTGGATATCCGCCATCTTGAAATTTCAATTTGAAAAATCGTTCACGACTGATTCTCAGACCTACCGAATATGCACAAAAATCTTCATAAGAATCGGCCAAGCCGTTCGGAGGAGTTTGGCGTCAAACACCGTGACAGGGACAGGAGAATTTTATATATTAGATTAATATTATCAATCAACAGAGTCAGTTTTGCAATACACTCGATAGACTATAAAAAGAAAAAAAAGCGCAATTATTTACAAAAAATCGCAATGACGCAAAACGAAGTTGAAAAGCGCCTTATTGGCAACACTGTTCCCCAGACCCAGAAAGAAGAAATGAATAAAAGAGAACTGTAATGTTTGTATTAGTTCTTGAAGGAGCGCAGCACGGTAGTTTCACTGTGTAGCCCTCTGAAAGACAATAGCTGAACTACTCTGCCACTGTCGAAACCTCGCTAACAATATGGCGATATTGAAAATAGATGCACAAACGTCAGAATTAATTTTACGCACAATACATTCCCAAAGGACAATGTTCCAGAAGCTGATTATTTCATCAAAAATTTATTGAATTGCTAACTTCTTCTGTTACACAAACGTTGTCAATGTTATTGTTTTTCATTACCATATATTTTTTTACACAAATCGAATTTCGCTGGAAAATTCCTTCATATCCTATTCTCAACCTTCGTCTTTAATATGTACCAACCACTTTTGCGCTTACACTTATAGTTTATTAATGATTTGGTACCAAACTGACCTCTGCATGGCAGTTTTGACTGATGCGCCCTCTTAACTATGTATCCCTGATTCCATAGTGTCTTAATTTATTGAATAGAATATCAAAGTCAATACAGTTGAAAGCCCTGGACCAGCCAGAAAAATCCCACAGGACACGTTTCCAGCATCCAGGTGGAAAGCGCCAGAAGGCACTCAAATTCACTTGACAGTCGTTTATGATGCAGAGGAGCTGTAGGGGCTCGGCTGAGCATTTTTCTCGAAAATGTGTGATTCTTTGCTGTAATCCTGGCAGCTATTGGCGCTATAGTAGTGGTTCTGAATCAACTATGAGGTCCTGCTGTTCCTTACCCTGCAAAGTTTTTAACTTCTGGGAAGTTTGTTCATAACCTAAGTAGCAATATATAATTTTTTTACAAATTCCTTCCCTGCGAGCTGTACGAGGGGCGGCGTATTGATTTACATACACACATTAATTAAAATCCCGTTTTATCAGATATACATATAAAATATATCTATGAAGAATATCAATTCTCTGACAATGATTCCGCTGATTTATTTGCACCATTCGCGATTACAATCATTTATCCGTGTATGTCGTTCAGGACTGTTTGCGTATACTTTTTAATTATTCTTGAATCAGTTGCGGTGTCTATGAACTCTTTCCAAAGGTCCTTGTCCGGCATAGAGTACACCTCGACCGACATAGTGGTGCCGCATGACATCACATCCAACAACAATGAATACGCACCATGTGCGATTTCATTCTTCAATCCGTGTTTGGCGTTTAGAATTGTTGACATGTACTTTTTAACAATTTATGAATGAATCGCTGTGCCTATCTATTGTCATTTAGTCTATGGGCTGAACACTTCTAACATTGAATTCAACTCTTTCCCCGAAGATCCCTGTCCGACATAGAGTCCACCCAAATCTACATAGTAGTGCTGGGCGACGTCAGATCTCCCAACAACAATGATTCCGCAGAAATATCCCCACCACCCGCGATTTTTTTCATTTATCCGAATTTGACGTTTATGATTGTTGGCGTATACTTTTCAATGATTTATGAATGAATCGCGGTATCTATCTATTGTTATTTAGTCTGAGGAACAATATCCTATCATCTCTCCCGGGAACATGTCCTTCGCGGGCCGAGTGCAAGAGGGCGATCCATAAAACAAAACATATCATTGAAAAATATTTTCGGGCAATGATTCCGCAGAGTTATCCCCACCATTCGCGATCTCATTCATTTGCCTGTTTGGCTTTTCGGATTGTCGGCGTATACTTTTAATGATTTATGAGTGAATTGCGGTATCTCTCAGCCATTGACATTGACACTCAGTCTCTGTCAACAATATTATCATGTTTAAAAATGTCACATATTCGTCAGACTTATAAAGGTTAAGGTCCCTCGTGCCCTTCCAGGACCTGAATTAAACAAATTTTTAAAGTGTATTTTTGGAAAATTTTACAATAACCCATTAGGGAACTTTTTTGTTAAATGTATGTCTGTTCCTAATTCCGTTTGTACTATAATGATGTCTTTGATCTCGAATTTTTGGCCTTTTTTGTAAATACTTGATGAGTAAGTAATCTACACTTTTGGATTTGCTATTTGAAAATTTTCATAAATATTACTTACTTGCAGGTATAGTACTGATGATGGCTTTTTAGTCGACAGCTCTTTGCGATTTGATAATAAATTTTACACGAAATACAATATCTCTTCATTCTCTTGAGGTACAATATCCAATTATCTCTTCCAGGGACATGTTCTGCGCGGGCCGAGTGCAAGAGGACGACCTCAGGCGCACTCTGAAGGCGTGCGGCGGCGCAGTGATGACGACTGTGAACGACATCGGCGACTCGGTGCTCGGCAAGTGTGAGCTGTTCGAGGAGAGGCAGATCGGCGGCGAGCGGTACAACTTCTTCCAGGGCTGCCCGAACGCGAAGACTTGCACGCTGCTGCTGAGGGGTGGGGCCGAGCAGTTCTTGGAGGAGACGGAAAGGTATCGTATTGAAAATTGCACACCACTAATTTTTAACCAATCAAATTGAGTTTTTCGACGAATCATCGTAGCAACGTATGTATTCAAGTGGATTTTTGTTCTCTTGGTTACCCAACAGCTCATTAAATCGGAAATAGGTATGTATGTTTGTATGTAACATGGAAACTTCGAAAGTGATCATGCCCCACTTCAAAACGTTTAATTGAATTGAAACCTCGCACACTTATCAAGAACCAATGAAAAAGCATAATTTAATAGTTTTAAAATGGTGAATGATGTTCCGCCACCAAAATTTTAAGTTATTATTCCTTTGAGTAACTTTACAATGTTTTCTATATCCAGAGACAGGGCAGTGTCATTATATAGTATTATAGTATTGAGTCATAAGTTCTAGAAAGTTCAGTCATTGCTTCCCAATATAAACGTTCATGCACGTGTCATAAACAGTCATAAGTTTTAAGTCGTAAGTAAAGTTGGCCAACATTCATCTCTTACGACTAGGACTTGAAACTTATAACTAATTTGCTCTGAGCATGAGCCGTGCGCTTCCATTTGTAATCTTGGTTTTGTCTACATTTGTTTTAATCAAATCAAATCAAATCCAGAACAGGTATTTGTAACTGCTGAATAATAGAAAAAATTGATTGTGGTACCTTGAACATGTATAAAAATGATGAACAACAAAATGCTAATGAAGGTGTGCTTTTCTCATGATATGACAGTCTTCATTTGCTACATAAATCACCATTTTCCCCCTATGACTTAAAACTTTATACTTAAAACTGCTGGATAAATCCACCATTAGTTCGCAATTTTTTTTAAATTGAATTGACAGATTTTTGATTACTTCAAAAAATTTCCATAGCAACAAAGACACCTGTAACAAAGATGCCTGAATTGTCGCAGCCTACCAGGTGAATACTCCAAATTTAACAATGATGATTTTCTGTTTTTTAAATAATGTAATATCTTCTCAATTATTGTATTATACACGTGAAAAATATTAGATTTTTGCTCTCGGTTTTTTGTCTACAACACAACCTTGAGCTAAAATCTATTACTTTTTTCCCTTGTATAATAAATAACTATTTTTCTGTGACCGGAAAAAAGTTTGGCGTTTCATCTCTGTTGGCAGGTTATAAAATGTCACTTTTCATAAATTTCTTTTTTCCCCTGGGAAAAAAGTGAGTACTTTGTTCCCGGATATATATCACATATATATACACTGTTGATGGCGTTTGTTGTGCTATAGTTCCGAAAAATGAGTATAATACCGTCTCCGAGAAAAAACTGCAAGTCCTTTTATCTCCCATTTGACTTCGTGTTTAGATAAATTACTAAACAACCACTAAATTCGCAATTTTTTGAAATCAAATCACAGAATTAGACTGACAGAAGTGACATCAGACATTTGATCCCTACTGTTAAAAACTTAAAATTTCACGTCGATAATGTTCAGATATCAAAATAATGTAATATCTTCTCAATATTGATCCCTCCTTTCTTCTGTCACAGAAAAAATAGTGTATTATACACGGGATGGAGCTAAAATCTACTACTTACTACCCTTGTATAATAAATAAATATTTTTCAATTACCTTGATCAGAATCTTCAGGATGAGCGATTTTTACATCCAGAGACACGGCAGTGTCTTGTACCAGGTATATTCTTATGATATGAAAATAGTTACATCCGGAGAGACAGTAGAGTCTTGCACCAAATACTCAAATGAAATGAAGGTTCCGGTGACGGAGCCTGATGACATAATAAGGAAGCCAACAGGCGAGCAAAGGACCCCGCACTTTTTCTATATAAAAATGGCGTTCCGTCGAATTTCCCCAATTTTTGGTAAATGATAGTACTCGACATACTGATTGAATATGCCAAGTCCCAACTCAATCCTATGACTAGTTTACGAGATACAGGGTGTTGAAGTTGAAGAATACCTAATTTTTCTCGGCCTATATCTCTAAGATAGGACAAATGAATTCCAATTTTTCGGGAGCACGTAATAGTTATGCCCTTAGGCGCAAGAACTATATAGGTATTCGACCAAAACTGATTTTTATTACAGGGTGATTCTCATTTCAAATAATGTGTTTTTTTGAATATCTGAATATCAATGCTACAAATTGATAACAATTACAAAATGAGATTTATAGCCAAGTATGCTCTTCTTACATCAATTGAATTCGTAAAATATAATAATTATACATGGTGTTTCATTAATGCTGTTGATTGCATAATTGGTCTATCCTAAAGTTCATTGGGCCACCTCGTATTATCGGGTTGATTCCAGACATTCAAAATATTTTTGAAGGATGTATCCCAATGAGTTCCATGATATACAGAGTGATTCATCGATTGAAAAAATTGACAACCACGAAAAAATATTCAAAAACCACTATTTTTTTCATCACCCTCTAATTCGAAATTATTACCGTCGATGTAAGATTTTTTTCCACCAATATACTCAGTATGGATATTTCAATCAAATTGGGAATTTTCAGACCCATGCTATGACTAGTTTTTTTTATACATCGAATAATGTGAAAATAATTATGGAAAAGTAATTACATAATAACACGAAAAATTGCTCCGAATCGCAAAACTAGTAGTCACTAGTCAACTATGTCAAAAAATGTGATTTGTTCGTAAACAAAATCTAGTGGTCTTATTATAGGTCCGCTAGCAAAACATCTCGAAAATGTTTTTCAGAAAACATCAAACAAATCACAATATGCCCCCGAAAAAATCTCATCAACGACACAACTCATCAACGATCCCACTCATATAAACGTGCTAAAACTCATGAGCGTTCCAAGTCGACAGCGGTTTTTCCCAACTCAATCCTATGACTATACTTTTCGAAAAAAATATGAAACTAAACTTCCGCAAACGCCTAGTGAGAGGTGCGCGTTAATATATTTTGCAACTCTCCTTTATCCAACCAACTTCCAATCTTTTGATCATACTGTATATTGTTAGAATCGAAGTTAGTATATGCACATCGGAAAGACACTAAAGTTGGAGTTTTGGTTATGTAGATATTCGTTACCGGGTTCAGTATAGACTTGAAAGAAAAATGGAATACAGGAACATCAGTAGGTACCGAGGAATCATCATTTATCCAACACATCAAAAATATAGTAAAATAATAATGAAACAATCTCGAAGCCTCTTTCTTCCACTCAATATCAATTCAGAATTGCAATCATAGATTTTGAAAAAATACATGAACCAACTCGTTTTCCAACAACATCTATTTGTTGGAAGAAATAGTGGCATTAGGTAATGTATATCGTAAGATATACATACCGTAATAGATCGATAGACATCCTCAAATAACTATAAAATTATATTTTAGGGTAAGTTCTAGTCCCAATTCAAGTTGACAACTGATATTTTCGGAATCGGCGGGGTCGAATTAGTCTAGAAACTTGGGTTGTCACGAATTAATAAGTATGTTTTACTTCGTAGAAGTCGAATTTGGATTATCGCAACCAGATAGAATATTTTTCAGTAGGCTTAGAAAACAAAATCATGATATCAATAAATGTGTCTGTCATCCAGCAACTTTCGGGTTGTCAGTATCTTAAAATATCATATCAGCGTATATCTTTATTCTGAGTGTTTTTTAAGTCGTTTTCAGTAATTGTTTAGTGAATTTAGTGCGCATTATGGCATTTGCAAATAGGGTAAGATGTTATGTATGCGAAGGGAATTTCATTCCTAGACTCACAATTCGTATAAATCGTGAAGATAATGTTGATTTTCTGCAAATTGCAACATTTAGAAGACAAGCTGCTGGAAATCCTCCAATTGACATTTTTGATGATACCAGAGTTTGTTTCAATTGTCATAACAGTGTAATAATTGATATCAATGAGATGGAAAATAACCCAAACTGTCTTCGCCTAAATGTATTGAGTCCAGTAATGAGCCGTGCCTGCATAATCTGTAATGCTCGTCAACATGTTCAGAGAATAACTCTTGCATGTAGGGTGAACATTTTTGTTGTAACGAATATTTATGTTCCGGACTTTCTGAGAATTTGTGGTCATCATCTTGACCCTCATGGATTTCTCTTGAATAATTTGCATGGAGGTTTGAATTTTATCAACAAACCCTATTTGATATCAAATATGCTTCAATTTCTACAGTGTATGAGAACAGTTGCCAATGAAAATAGACGTATTAGAAACTGGGATGATATTGATAGTTTTACAGAAGAAGAGTTCAAAGCTCTGACGTCGATTTCAAAAGAAGATTTTCAAGAACTTTATGGATTTTGTGATACAATCGAGCAAGGGGGAAATAGAAGGCATATCAAAAAGAAACATTTACTGACATTTCTAATCAAAATGAAACATGGAGTTTCAGATGAGTTTTTGAAAATCTTGTTTCATTTTTCTTCAAGACAAACAACTAGCTTGATAATATCGAATGTGAGGATATCTCTAATGCAAAGATTTGTAACTAATAATATTGGTTTCGACTCTATTACAAGAGACGATTATATTAATAGACACGTGTCTGTATACACCAATCAGCTATACAACCCTTCTCCCAATATCCCAAAAGCAATTTTGTGTATATAGACTGTACATATAACAAAATAGAAAAAAGTAGTAATTTCCGGATATTGAGACAATCCTACTGCTTCCATAAAAATGAGCACCTGGTTAAGCCTGAAATTATGGTCGCTCCTGATGGCTACATCTTGGCAATTAATGGTCCATACTTTTCTGATGCTAGAAATAATGATGCCACCATTCTGCAGCATGAGCTACAGAATGATATAAATAGAATGAGGACATGGTTTCAAGAAGGCGATGTAGTGATAGTCGATAGGGGTTATAGGGACTCTATTGGTCTTTTACAGGATCTTGGTCTCCATTACCATATGCCACCATTTCTACCACCAAACCAAAGACAACTCACAACAATCGAAACTAATAGGGCACGCTTAATTACTAGCACCAGATGGATTGTAGAGGCTAGAAATGGGCATTTCAAATCGATTTTCAAATTTTTCCGAGGAGCGATATCAATAACACATGTTGCAAAATTACGCGAATTCTATTTGATTGCTGGCGCCCTAATAAACAAATACCATCCTCCAATAAGGATGCCGGGCACATTGGAATTAGCTACACAAATGTTGCATGATATCGAAGAAGTCAACATTGTTCAGGCCCGAGTTGAGGCTGAAAACCTCCGTACAAGAAATGGTCGATGGTTTCGTTTGAACCATAGACATGTACCGACGTTTCCTCGACTTGACTTAGAATATTTGAAAACACTCACAGGGTCATATCACATTCACTTAGCTGCCTCCTACATACAAGACACGATACAAAGAGATGGAGGGAAACAAAATACACTCGATATTGACGAACTCATTGAGGAACCCAATTTTTTAAGATTTCGAGTATTTTCTCGGTTCAGAAATGCCACTAAACATATGCTGTGGTTAGTATTCAGAGAAATCGATGATAATAATTTACAAGATCCGCCCATTTTAGGGTACTACTGTACTTGTAGGTCCGGTGCTAGAACATTAGGGACGTGTGCACACGTAGCCAGTGTGGTATGGTTCCTTGGATACGCAAGAAACCAAGGAAATATTACCTTTCCATCTGATCGCCTTTTGAATTGTATCGACGATGCTGCAAATCGATTGAATCCTGAAAATATGAACATCGGTCCGGAACTGATTTGAATCTGGCGATTAGTTGATTTCTGTGTTCCTTGTGAAACATAATTATAGTAGTAGTAGTAGTATATGTCCTTCGTTGGTAGGTATGTACATACCAACCAACCATCGATCCCTAATGAGGTCCTTTAGCCCATAGTGTTCTGAACATGTATCTATATTGTATGTAGGCACGCAACAGTGAATCGTGCAGGACTATCCCCAGCCGATGCTCCGAAACTTCACAATATTTAATTCGTATATTAATATTCGAAAAATTCCTTGCGCTGTCTGGGAATCGAACCCACGACCCCGCAGTCCTGACTCGGGTGCTCGTCCACTGCGCCAATCCTGCCTACACACAATCATATTATAGGTATTGGAACTTTCACTTTCTAACGTGGACTAGGCCTACAGGGGATACCACAATAAAAAAAACGCGCCTGAAACTCTACCTCTCAGGTGGTGGGGAAACGAGTTGGTTTGTCTATTTTTTCAAAATCTGTGATTGAAATTCTTAATTGACATTTTTCTTTCAGGCCTATACTGAACCCGGTAACGAATATCTACATAACCAAAACTCCAACTTTAGTGTCTTTGCGATGTGCATATACTAACTTCGATTCTAACAATATACAGTATGGTCAAAAGATTGGAAGTTGGTTGGATATAGGAGAGTTGCAAAATATATTAACGCGCACCTCTTACTAGGCGTTTGCGGAAGTTTAGTTTCATACTTTTTTCGAAAAGTAGTCATAGGATTGAGTTGGGAAAAACCGCTGTCGACTTCGAACGCTCATGAGTTTTAGCACGTTTATGAGTGGGATCGTTGATGAGTTGAAAGTTGATGAAAGGGGTGCGTAGAATAGTTGTGTCGTTGATGAGATTTTTTCGGGGGCATATTGTGATTTGTTTGATGTTTTCTGAAAAACATTTTCGAGATGTTTTGCTAGCGGACCTATAATAAGACCACTAGATTTTGTTTACGAACAAATCACATTTTTTGACATAGTTGACTAGTGACTACTAGTTTTGCGATTCGGAGCAATTTTTCGTGTTATTATGTAATTACTTTTCCATAATTATTTTCACATTATTCGATGTATAAAAAAAACTAGTCATAGCATGGGTCTGAAAATTCCCAATTTGATTGAAATATCCATACTGAGTATATTGGTGGAAAAAAATCTTACATCGACGGTAATAATTTCGAATTAGAGGGTGATGAAAAAAATAGTGGTTTTTGAATATTTTTTCGTGGTTGTCAATTTTTTCAATCGATGAATCACTCTGTATATCATGGAACTCATTGGGATACATCCTTCAAAAATATTTTGAATGTCTGGAATCAACCCGATAATACGAGGTGGCCCAATGAACTTTAGGATAGACCAATTATGCAATCAACAGCATTAATGAAACACCATGTATAATTATTATATTTTACGAATTCAATTGATGTAAGAAGAGCATACTTGGCTATAAATCTCATTTTGTAATTGTTATCAATTTGTAGCATTGATATTCAGATATTCAAAAAAACACATTATTTGAAATGAGAATCACCCTGTAATAAAAATCAGTTTTGGTCGAATACCTATATAGTTCTTGCGCCTAAGGGCATAACTATTACGTGCTCCCGAAAAATTGGAATTCATTTGTCCTATCTTAGAGATATAGGCCGAGAAAAATTAGGTATTCTTCAACTTCAACACCCTGTATCTCGTAAACTAGTCATAGGATTGAGTTGGGACTTGGCATATTCAATCAGTATGTCGAGTACTATCATTTACCGAAAATTGGGGAAATTCGACGGAACGCCATTTTTATATAGAAAAAGTGCGGGGTCCTTTACCACTCCCATTGCGGGGCGGTACTTACAAAAAATTAAAAAAAAAACTAAAAAGTACGCTTTTACCGTACTAGAAGATAGTAAATAAATAGTAGTTTAGAAAACTAAAGAAATATAAGCACCTCCATAGTCAGTATATTTTATGTTGTGTATTTATCATTTGGCTATATAGAGGATGATTCAGGTTTCAAGGCACAAACTGAAATGTGGGATCTCATCAATTTGATCAAAAAAGTTTATATAAACATGTGTCCGATCTGGATCAGTGGTGGAGCTACAAAGAGGTCAAAGATTAATATTTTTTTCCTATTTATCAAAATATCTTTCTCACTATTGAAGTTATCAATTTGAAATTTGAGGTAAGGTTGTTACTTCCTGGAAGATCATGATTTTCACCATTTAGAAAATTGTCAAAATCCACAGGGTGATATATTTTTGGGATTACAGGCTTCTTTATCCCCCAAGCTTTTTCGTTGTACGCCTCTGACATCATCTAGTTACCGGATTATGTAAATTGTTCAATTGAGAGGCTTTTAAAGGAACCGTTTTCGAAATAAATAAGCATATCCGTTCTACAACATGTTAAATCTGCCTACATTTTGCTTAAATTTTATTCGTGGAGAAAATTTAACCAACTTTGAAAACTAAAAAAAAAAACCTTGACCTTCTATCCTTTGTATCCCCGCTACTGATCCAGTCTGTATTTTCAATACGTTTTATTGCATTTCCTACGAATTTCCTCCAATAATAAAATTTAAGTGAAACAATATAGGCAAAATTAACATGTTTTTCAAATATGCTTATTTATTTCGAAACGGTTGGTTTCTCGAAAAAAATTGAGACAAAAAAGCCTCTAATAGAACAATGTATTGAATTTTTTAACTGGAAGATGAGAGGCTTATTAGGAAGAAGATCTTGGGGGATAGGGAAACCTCTACCCCAAAATAGGTATCACTCTGTAGAATTTAAAAATCTATTAGATGCTTAAAATGATGATCTTCTAGGAAGTATCAATCACACTAAATTTCTACTTGATATCTTCCAAAGTGAGCGAGATTAATATTTAATTTAAAAAAATAATAAAACTTTTACCCATCACCCATTTTAGCTTGTGGCTTTGAATCTAAATCACCCTGTATATGAGAGCGTGTTATTTTTAGTTTTTTTAAACTTCTATTTATTTTTATTCCATTTAGGTCCCTGCACGACGCCATCATGATCGTTCGCCGGACGATCAAAAACGACGCCGTCGTGGCGGGCGGTGGCGCCATCGAGATGGAGCTGTCGAAGATACTGCGCGAGCATTCTCGCACCATCGCCGGCAAGGAACAGCTGCTCATCGGCGCTGTTGCCAAGGCGTTGGAGATAGTGCCGCGGCAACTGTGCGAGAACGCCGGCTTCGATGCGACGAATATTTTGAACAAACTGAGACAGAAGCACGCGCAGGTATGTGTAAATAAGGAAATAATGAACTATGAAAATCATCCATTCTCAAAGTGGCTCCACAGTATTCATGAATGAAAGAAAAGACTAAGTCGGCCGACCATACCATTGAAATTTCAATGGTCTGTTTGTTATCCTGACCCATAACAGGTTTGTTTTATTCTGACACCACATACATGTTTTTTCCTTGACATTCGTATTTTAGGTCGTTTTAGTCTGATGATGACTGTTGTGCCGAAACCGGTCACCTTCAAATTTAAAATTGTTGATATAAAGTGTGTTCGACCGACTTAAGAGTCTTTTCTTTCATTCATGAAGGAAATAATAGTAGATTGTTTTATTAGGATCAAATGTGACACTTTGTTTGACAAGCGAATTTTGCATTTGCGACTCAAACAAAGTCACTTTTGATTCAAATGAAACAAGCTATTTTTTCTGCAACCAAAAGAAAACTAAAATAAATATATGAAGTAACCACCAATGTGACTGACTTACTTGACAGATTATTATAATACCTTTATTATAATGATATAAGCAAGCAATAAAAAAGATTGAGCAGACCAGTGGTTTTGTGGGGTCACTGAAAGCATACTTGACTGAGCTGGAGCCCTATACAGTTGATGATTATTTAAAGTCTTCACTTGAATTCGAGCTAGGTACTTGATGTTTGTATTTTTTGTATTTTTGTTAGTATTTTTTGGTATTTTTTTATCTATTTTTCTGTAATTCAACTTGTCCCAGATAACGTGTTTTTACTTTTACTTTTATGTGTATACCTAAATGCTAAAGCTACTTTCATCTTATGAGCAAAATGTTATTCAATTGTCCCATAAATGAATTTGTAAAACTTTGACCTGTTTCATAGACCAATCAATTTTTTTGTTTTTCGTATAAAATGGGAAATTGTAATCTAATGAAATCAATAAATTTCTATTCTATTCTATTCTATAATGATATGAGTAAGTAGATAGAAGCAAGACCTCAGACTACTTTACTTTGTTACAATTCATGTTGATACTACAGGCACGAATTCGAAACTATACCGAAACGTAGATGCTGTGCAATATGTACACAATGCAACAAATAATTCGTGAGGTGAGAATATTCTACTTGTATCTTACCTGCAATTACAGATCAGGTTTATTCAATTGTCAAGGATGTTCCAATTGTAGTTTCAATATAAATACAACCACAGAGTGACCCATTTGTGTTTTCTATTGAATCGATGAATTCATTTGGACCAGGTGTCAGCCCTAATAGCAAATACCGTGCCAGTGCCAGGTAAAGGAAAAAGAAGTAGAAAATGTTAGGTTCGTGAGCATATCAACAAAAATAATAGCGATTACTTGTTTCTCCCCATATTCTACTGTGTTTGGCTCGGTAATCAAATGAAGTTAAACAATATCGTTGTGCGAGGCAAAAACTATTGCTGGCCGTGATTATTCAAAAACAATGTAACCAATCAATCAGATCCCGAGAATAACGAATGAAATTCAGATCAAGCAAGTATGTGAATCTTGAGGGCTTTCCTGATCCGGTTGAAATAATAGCATGTTTTATTCCGATCAAAAGTGACTTTGTTTGACTCTCAGATTTTGCTTTCGCTCGACTTCGCTGAACACTCCGCCTCACAAATGTAAAATTCGCTTGTCAAACAAAGTGTCACTTCAGATCCTAATGAAACAATCTACTATTCAAAGAAAAACTTCGGGCCGGTTGTATAAAGCATTCGACAGACGATTAAATATAACATTATTTCTAGAAAAAATTTTTTCAGATAAATATTTATCAAAAACTTTTATTTGGTTTGGCTATCCATAAAAGCGGAATTCTGTAGTTTTACAAACTGTTCTATTCATTTTCTAGTTCTTTTTAGTTCGGCACTATATCTCTTAATTTTTTCCAAACTACTCTTCTTTTCTACTCACTTTTTAGTTTGGCTATCTATAAAAACGTTTGGCTATTCATAAAAGCGTGTTTCATTATAGTTTTTCAAAATAATATTACAAAGCTCTTTCGCCATATTGGATCCGCCATCTTGAATTTCCTAATATTAAAGAATACAATCATAATCTCCGACCCCGAAAACCCCTAGATACATATTTTGTATAGAATCGGATCATAATTAAAAAAACTCGTCCGCCATATTGGATTCTCCATCTTTGATTCCTAATTTTGATGAAAGAATCATAATCTCCGACCCTAAAATCCCCCAGATTCAGATACAAATTTTGAATGAAATTGGATCATAGTTACTGCCGTATTAGATCTGCCATCATGGATTTTCGAATTTTGATGAAAGAATCATTATCTCCGACTCCGAAAATCCCCAGATACCAATTCTGAATAAAATCGGTTCACAAAACTCGTCCGCCATATTGAATCCGCCATCTTGATTTTCGATTTAAAAAATAGATTAATACCGATTCTCATGGCTAGTTAGCTTCTCCTTCGAGCGAGTCCATTGTTCGGCCCGACCGCTATGATTATCGTTTACCACACCTGCCATACTCGAGTAGGTGGGGCAACGACGCTCACCCATTACACGGTTTCTCTATAGTCTATATGAACGTTATTATTGCCAAACGAGTATAAGTATTTTCAGTTTTTGATAACTTTTCAATTCCTACTAAATGTCTGTTATTTTAAGAAAAATTAACACCCACAAAATCATTTCATGCTAGTAGCTTCATCATGCTACTAACTTTCAATCACTAATAATTATCGACAATTATTATTCCCTTTTCAAATATCTCTGATGTTTGATCTCGTGTTTGATGCAAAGTTCAGGAGCAAAAATTTAAATTGTTTTTTTCACTTGCCAGAGCTTTATTTTGTCTAAGTCAACTTCACATTTCAATGAGAATTTTGTTGCCTGGAAATTTAACGAAAAAAATTGCCTTCAAAAAAATCACGAGTTTATAGGACAAGTAATTTTTCCTGGTAATTTTTTGTCTCGAATTTCCTAAAGGCAACCAACAAAGCTCGAATTATAAATGTGAAGTTTTCTACGGCCCAAAAAAAATGCTTGAGTGTGATTCGGTGAGACAATTTGAGGAATGCGTCAATTTCTCCACTCCAAATCGCGACATTTCCAAAGATTACAAAGTATTCTGACAACGCAAGCTTGAGAAAGATAGACATGAACGCTATCAAAGATTAGTTGCACAATTCTGGTTGTCACGGTTGGCAAAAGCTAGGTTCTGTTTTGTCGCTGGAAAACTTAGGGCAAAGTTTCTTCCCTGTCATAATGAAAAAATCACAGCGGCTTAAGCGATTTTTTATACATGAGATGAATTGTCAGTATTACAATGATGCTAAGTCATCTATCGAAATATTATTTTTCTACGGCTATACCACAAGATTGCTCTTGTTTTACTGTGTTCGATACATCAATGAGCTACTTTGTATGTCATCAATTTTATGTCCGTATCTGATATCACAATGACTCCATTGTGTTATTATTACAAGAAACACTCGCCCATGGAATGCCAAATTTCAAGCAATGACAGCAGACACTTGGCAGGAAATCAGATGGCTACAAGACGAAGAAATCGAAAATGCCGCTGTTGATATCTATTATAGCCGTAGAAAAATTATAGTGTATAACTTGCACGGAATGCTAATTTCCTACTCGAATGATTGCAGCATTCGCCTTATGGTTCATGCTGCAAACTTCATTCTCGTAGGAAATCAGTATCATTCCGTGCTCGTTAAACAGTATAATATTAACTACTCAACGTATTCAACCAAAGTTTACGACAGTTTTGTCGAGGTTACAATTAGAAGAAATTAAAAAATATCAAAAACTCTCAAGTTACAATTAAACGTTCAAATTCGTGGCACATGTGTAAAATTGGAATATAGAAACCACTTTTCTTTATGAACTATTCTGAAATTCGATCAAAGAAGTCTATTTTCAGCGATTAATTTGAAAAAATGTAACTTTTGACATGTAGAGTAGAGTACAGTAGGCCATTTTTCATATTTTTTTAAGCACAACTTGATTCCCAAGTCGAATTTCGAAATTATTTTGATGCCAACTTTAGTGGATGACACTGTGTATTGAACTTTTACAAATTCTAGTGAGATATGAACCTCAATATTGGAATATGCCCCTTTGAAGAGAGGGCAAAGAACATTTTGAATTAAATTTCAAGTACAGGGTGATTCGCCATAAATGTCCCCCCCTCTAGCTCACTTATTTTTTAACCGTTTTAAAAATTTGAAAGATAATCTAAAATGATTTTTCTGAAATTTTTGTCTTGTTGTATCAGAAAATATAGGGTGCTCGGAACAAACGATCTACAGAGTACTAATTGATTTTTTAAAATGGAACACCCTGTATTTCATTGTATTTTTAGATTCTTCCTGAAGAGCTGATTTCATCAATGTATGACACTTGGGGTTTAGCGGGAATGATTACAGAGATATAGGGTGTTCAAAATCGAGATTTTTCAACTTAAGGATTTTTTTGTGCCGAAACTATTCATTATTGGTCAAAACGGCTTCTATGTTCCCATCCCAACTTTCGATTTACTATCTAGTGAAATTTAATTGGAACATTTACAGGGTGGTTCAAGATTCAGAATTCTGGTCACCCTGTATCTGTTCCAACTATTAAATGTCAGTAGATAGTAAATCAAGTGTTAAGATACGGACATGAAAACCGCGTGACCGATAATGAATAGTTTCGTCACAAAAAAAAATCCTAAAGTTAAATATCTCGATTTTGAACACCCTATATCCCTGTAATCAGTCCCGCTAGACCCCAAGTATGATGCATTGATCAAATCAGCTCTTCAGGGAGAATCTAAAAATACAATAAAAAATAGGGTGTTCCATTTAAAAAAATCAAGTAGTACCCTGTAGATCGTTTCTTCCGAGCACCCTGTATTTTCTGATCTAGCGGAAAAAAACTTTATCGAAAATCAATTTCAAATTTTAAAATCGGTTCAAAAATAACTGAGCTAGAGGGGGGGCATTTATGGTGAATCACCCTGTACAATCCGCAACATGAATTTCCCCAGGGCAGCAACTGGTACGGAGTCGATATCGGCAAAGAAGACATCTCCGATAACTACGAGGCGTGCGTGTGGGAGCCGGCCATCATCAAGGTGAACGCTCTGACAGCCGCCACCGAAGCGACTTGTCTCATTCTGTCCGTCGACGAGACGATCAAGAATCAGAAGTCCGCGGATCCCGCCCAGATGCCGGGCGGACGTGGTATGGGCAGGCCCATGTAATAATTGATAACCATGTTTTTCATTATTATTAGTTTCATGCTCGACTGACATTTTCGCACTTCATTTTTGTTCACGTACTTGCGGCCGTGCATCGTTATTAAGCGTTTCACAACATTAACTTTTTGATATAATGTTTCCTTTGCTGATACATTTTTCACAATTCGATAAAGAAATCTCACAACAGAAGTGTTTTGCTAGAAACCATGTTTATTTTTATTCATTTCATGCTCGTCTGAAATTTTTGTACCTCATTTTTGTTCGAATACTTTGGGCCGTGCGTCGTTATTAAGCATTTCACAATATTAACTGTATAACCTTTTGATAACGTTTGCTTTGCTGATATACTATTTTCCATTATTCATAATAAAGAAATTTCACAACAAAGAATTGTTTTCTTGGATCCTGCTTTTTGTTGTTGTTGTCGATAAGCATCTCATTTGTCTACCTTATTTCATGCTCCACTGACATTTTCGCACTTCATTTTTGTTCACGTACCTCCGGCCGTGCATCGTTATTAAGCGTGTCACAAGAGATTAACTAACCTTTTAATATAATGTTTGCTTTGCTGATACGATATTTTCAATAATTCGATAAAGAAATCTCACAAAAGAATTGTTTTGTTGGAAACCATGTTTATTTTTATTCATTTCATGCTCGACTCACATTTTCGTACTTCATTTTTGTTCACATATTTTGCGTCGTTATTGAGCGTTAAACAATATTAATTGTTTAACCTTTCGATAATGTTTGCCTTTGCTGATAGAATATTTTCCATTATTTATAATAAAGAAATCTCACAACTAGTGATGTGAAGGGGGGAACGTTACCTTCGTGCTGTGGGGAACGTTCGCGAATGTTCGCTCAACATAAATCGATCGTGCGCGCATGATAGCGCGTGCTTTAGCACGAACGAGAATTTTCAGCACAAACGAGAATTTTCAGCACGAACGAGAATTTTCAGCACGATCCCGACCAATCAGCGCGCTTCATCCGCTCGTATCGCATGTGAATCCTTTTGTTTTAGTGGTTCGTTGAGGAGTGAAAGCACAGAGAATTATTAGTGTTGTTTTTTTTTCAATATGTCCGGAAGAAAATTTGATTTCTTTCTTCATAAAAAACGTAATAGTATGAACATAGCCGGCATGCCACACGAATGGCAATACATTTGATGAAATGTGTGAAATGTCCCGAGTCGGTAAGGAATGAATTGATACTGAAAGACAATAAAATTGTTGTTCCTTTCAAAGATTCCCAAAAAGGAAACATCAAAATCAACGGAACTGACTGAAGTGACTGAACTTCAATGTTTGGAGTCCTCCACTCCTTCAGAGACTTCCACAGCTCGTTCAGTTCTTGATAATCAGGTTCAGGGTCCATCATCAAAAAATTCTGAATTTGAGGACTCTGAGACTGATGAGTCTGAAGAGGATACCGGGTCCTACAGTGTCCACGATTCGGATACCAGCGTTGGGCCAGAAAGTTTCGAAGGGGATATTGAAGATTTGGAGTTTGGAGTAAATGAATTAGAGTAGGTTTTTATAGCTAGTTTATAGGTGAAACATATTACTTCTCAACCTAACATGGTATATTCAGTTCATTTTTATATTCAATTGTTACAGGTTTTGCTATTTTTCTACTTAAAAAAAGGTTTTTCATTATGTTATAGTATAGAAGTTAATCATTACTATTACCGTATTAGTTGTAACACAGAATATTGATACAGCGTGTCCTTTTTTTATGGAGCATTAGGGGAATTTTAAACATTTTCAGCAATTTGAGAATTTTGAGCATTTTTAGAAAGAACCACGAAAAGTATGTTTTCGGATACTTTACTTCACCCGAAACACAAATTCGCGGGTTTTTTTGTTTATGCTTGTTCATTCTCGTTCGCATGTTCGTTCGTGCTCGGGAAACGTTCTCCAAAAATACTTTCTCGAGAATTTTACATCACTACTCACAACAAAGAATTGTTTTCTTGGATCCTCCCCAGAATTCGGCGGATCCTGCCCAGATGTCAGTCGTGCGTGGTATGGACAGGCAGTGTGTATTTATTAATTTCATGCTCGACTTACATTTTTATTCACATATTTTGCGTCGTTATTAAGGGTTTCACGATATTAACTGTTTAACCTTTTGATAATGTTTGCTGCTCTGCTGATACGATATTTATCATTATTCAATGAAGAAATCTCACAAGGAACTGTTTTCATGGATCTTTTTTGCGTGTTTTGTTGTAAAGCAACTAATTCCGTCGATCGATCAACGAATAATCAATCAAGAATCAGAATTTGGCGATCCTGCCCAGATGCCGGGCAGGTAGGGCGGGTAATGGGCAAGCCCATGTAATTTTTTAACGTGTTTCAAATAATTTCAAGCTCCACTGACATATTTATACTTCATTTTTGTTCACGTACTTTCAACCGTGCGTCGTTATTATGAGCCAAAACATTAACTATATATTTTTACCTTTTGATAGTTTGCTCTGCTGTTAATAGTATATTACGTAATATATGTGTTGTAAGAAGCATATATTACGCACGAATGGAAAAGTTACGCACGTAGCCGCGGAGCGGCGAGTGCGTGTATAATTGCTTTACAACACGCATTACGCAGTATACTTTTTCTACTACTGCTATGAAAAGTAGCGCATTTCTCATAGCTAACTTACTTTCGAAACCATGTATTGCTCATACTGTGAGAAATGTTTTTTCTCACGGCACTTTATTGCCAACACCACATATACATTTCCATGGAGAATCAACAAAAATCGACTAAAACTTGGCTGCTGTCCAGCTTTGAATAGTTATCACAACTGCCAGGAAAGTAGTTGTTTTCTATTGAATAAACTGAAAAAGAGTAAATTAATATTCTCATCACATAGAGAATGCGAATTCTCAATGTATTGCTTTATAAAAATATATATCCATTTTTGTATGTTCATAATTTATCTGAGAATATTCCTTTTCAACACTTCTTCAGGGTAGTTCTGATTAGTATGCTTTTGATAGAAATCATTTACAAATTTTATTCCAACAATTCATGATAAATAATATGATGTATATATACCGAGATGTGATGATTTTGAAAAATACACCGCCAGAGACAGAGATAATGGAAGAAGCTGCGACAATTGGATTTGTTCCCGGATATTCCAAGAAAAAAGTATGAATTGGCATGAACGGAGAATTTATGGAATCTACAAAAATACAGAAATGAAATCTTTTTCGGAAAGTAGCCTTTTTTGAAATACTTTTGAGGAAGTAGGAAAGGCGTCTACTCTTTGTTCACAATATTCAATGTGGCATAGTGCCACATTATAAAATGAATACTATTCAGCTACATATTACTCGGATTCTTTGAATAAGTGCAGTTGTAGAAAAAGTATAGTGTGCAACATATGTGGGGAACAGCACTTTTCCCACTTGTTGCACAATATATACTATTACCTACTGTCATTTAGTACATCAAAAAAGTGTGGACAAACAGTCTGAATTATAATTCTTGACAGTTATGTTATCCTCTGTTGACGGCGATTACGCGATCATGACATACCTTTTTACTGGCGGAATAAACGAAAACTGTGTGATATGCTTACTGTGCGTAAAGAGCTACTTACTGAGGCTATATCTCGATCGTGTGTTCCATTCATATACGTATTAATAATCAATGCGGATAATCTCTATCTGTTTCCATAGCGAAACATGAAGCCGATTTTTGAAGAGAAATGACTATCCATAAGGAAAAGTTTTGAAACGATCAGACACATACTGCTTTGATTGAAAGGCTAGTAAACGTCATTGTCCACCGAAACGCATGTCTTTGATGACTACTATAATAGCGCATGGCGCATGCGTATCATGCCACCAAATCCTTATGGATATTCATTTGTTTCATATTTTTGGCTTCATCCTCGCACCCGTTATGATCCGTATTGTTTATTAATACGTATATGGTTCCATTATTCATAATAAAGAAATCTCCCGACAAAGGCTTGTTTTCTTGGATCCTTCCTTTTTTTATCATGTTGTCAAGCATCTCATTCTGTCTGTCGACGAGACGATCAAGAATGAAAAGTCGGCGGATCACGAGTAGATGGCAAGTGACCGTGGTGCGTGGTGTGAGCAGGCCTATGTAATTGATAATCTTGTTTTTTTTTTCATTCATATCATGCTCGACTGAAATGTTCGCAGTTCATTTTTCTTCACGTATTGCGTCGTTATCAAGCATTCCACAACAACTGTTTAACGTTCCTAGATAATTGTTTTCTTAGATCTGTAGCAGGACAAGAGTGGCGATACTCTTTGCTTTTCATGTGCTAGTAATCTTTCTATTCAAACTATTTGCCTATTCGTCCAATAAATAGATGTCGCCTGCATCCACATTCTAGTCCTAAACTTTTTGCGTGTTTATCAGTCCGGTACCCACGAGAGTTTTTCTTGTTGAGCATTCGTGTTGGTGTTGAAGAAATTGCGAGAAAGAGAAATTGGACGTCATGTCAATCTTTGCGTAATCCGATGCTGTTTTCTTAGTTCGAAATAGCGTATATATGAGTAGTCAAGAAGCGAACCTTTTGGTTTTGACAATAATATTATCCTAAGATTATTGGTGCCAGGTCCTTTTTAGGTAGGTATGTAAATTTCGTATTTTAATTTGTAGTGAATGTTGTCATTGCAAACGATTCCCAGGTTCTTGGTTAGGAACATTTTTATGTAAGTCATGTATGTCCTTTTTAGATGAAAATATAATTCAAAACATCAGAAGCAATCACTGATTGTTCCTCCCTCAGTTTTGACACCCTACACCTGAGATTTTATTACGTAACCAGCATATCACTTGCCGGTTTTGTAACAACTTGGCGCCCTTCACGCGGAGCTGAAAGGATAATCAGTGATTATATTTTGGAATAATGGTATTGGGTAATACACCTGTATATGATTTTCGAGCAAGGAGAAGTTTGAACTATGCAAGAATGAATGCCGGACTTCCACAAGCAGATGAAGATGAAACAGTAAGAATGAACAACACACCAGATCAAGGTAGGAGTTTTCCTTTTTCTAACCCATCGGCACCACCAACAACTGTGGCCAGTGAAAGTGTGGTACCACCCTGTTTACCACA